ACCTCCGCCTCCCGGTTTCAAGCGATTATCCTGCCTCAGCCTCCTGAGTAGCTGGGATTACAGGCATGTACCACCACACCTGGCTAATTTTTGTATTTTTAGTAGAGACAGGGCTTCTGCATGTTGGAAGACTGGTCTCGAACTCCTGAACTTATGATCTGCCTGCCTTGGGCTCCCAAAGTGCTGAGATTACAGGCGTGAGCCACCACGCCTGACCCAGAAACAACTTTTAACTGAGAATGTGTATGCTTAAAAATGTAAGGCTAGCTAAATGTTTATAACGTGTTTTGTTTCTTGAAAGATTTTCACAAGCATTGTTTTAAGTCATTATTTACATTCATTCAAACTGTAAATAGAGGTATAGAACCATAGACAAACTTAGAAATTATAGACTTTATAAAAAATTGCTGCTTTTCTCATAGTTTTGTTTTCTTTCTCTAAATAATTATCTGCTGCACAAAAATAGATATGGAAGGTGGTTACTTGGTTATTCATGCTAAAAATCCATAACAGAATTTTTAATGAGAAACACATATATTGAAATTATTAAATATCACAAATCCTGAGCTTTAACTGCAGCATAATTCTGAAACAGGAAGGAGCATTCCTGAGACAGTACATTCAGCCACAACATCCTCAGCTTTTCTTATCTGGTGGCCTCCAGCTGAAGATATTTTTCACAAAGCAATGGACACATAATATTGATGCTAACTGGGTTGCTAATGAAGAAATTGAGAGGCACAGCTTAGTTTTGATCATGAGCCCATTTTGATTTCTCATAAGAGAAAAGAAAAATGAATGTAAGTGGCCATGAGTTTTGTACAGGGCATCTAAGCAGATTGTGATATTGAGGCTTCCCTTTGCCTTTCCTGGATGTTGCCTCTAGGCCAGACATTACGATTTAAAATGACATAACATGACCTCATGAATAATTTGAGGTCTAACTTCATGAACTCCAATTACAAAGTTACAGTGAGTTCCACAGAATGAAAGCCAGATGTGAGTAATTTACATTTTAGTCATGTATAAAAGGAAGAGATAAAAGGAGAAGTGCCATCTGGAAGATTAAAACCAACAGTAGCCACGTAATGGGCGGTTAGTGTCCACATAGGTCACCTGCCTCTTTAAAATGTTTGACACTTCCAGTGGCCAGCAGTTATTCTCTCTCTCCAAATTGTTTACTTACTAAAACACAAACTCTGAGAAAACAAGTTGTGTTGAGATGTTTAAAAGACTTGTTTACCAGTGTCTAGAAAATAGTTTGGGTGCAATTAATTTTATTTTATGTGGTACTTTTCTTAGTAAACAACAACTTTTATTTGCTTGCCTCAAGATACTTAATGTTTTACCCTACCTTGAAAGCATTTTAGATCTTAGAATCCTGAAGAAATAAAATATTGATTTGCTTCTGTGACACAAGTGACTAATTATGGCAGGTTCCTTATATGTAGAATGAGTGGTTTGTATTAATTGCTTATTAAATTCTATTCCAATTCTGAAATTCACACATGCTGTGAAGACACTGTACACATATGGAAAGAGGCACTATTCATGCTGCTTCTTCCGTCATTATCACATGACAGACTCTCTTGTGTCTTTTAAACTACAACAGGGAGAGACTGATACATTCAGCAGGCCAAAGCATTGACTGGTATAACTAAGTGGAAAGCAAATATGCAAAGCTCATCTTTGGTTAGTATGAGTTAGCAGCTTTCTCCTGCACTCTTATTTTCTTCAATTGAAATAGAATTTCTTTGTGGATATTTTTATATTGCTTCAACATTTAAAGACCCTGTACTATTTCCTTTTATTTCCTGAAGTGAGAAAAGAATTTAATCCAGGAATGAGATTGTGAGTGAAAATGTTTCTCAATACCCTGAAATATTCTCTCTTATGCAGTTTTGATCATCTGTAAAGAAAGCGTTCAAGAACACAGTAGGATACACATCGAAGGGCATGGACAGGAACAGCTCATCTAACCCAGTGAGGATTGTCTTCCAATTCTTTAGATGGCCATTTTAAAAGTTATTTCTAAAGGAAATATCTAATTTTGTATCTTCCAGTTACTTATGAAAAACTTTTAAAGTTTACATTTGGCTCTTAAGCCTCAACTTAGGACAAATTTTGAAAGTGTGATATGGAAAGCCATTCTATCATGAGCCTATGGGAGTGAAATACAGTGATCTCCTTCAACTTTAAGATGGAAAAATGTCCCCGAATCCTTAGGAGAAAAGGGCATAGCCACAAAATGTAAAGACCCTCCCCCTCGCCAGTTTAGCTCTTACGTGGATCAATTGCTCTGAAAGTTTATGTAGAAGCCTACAGACATCACAAAGAAAGTGTTTGAAAGAGTAAGTTGACCAAGTTTGAATATGTAAAAAAAAGAATAAATATAATCTAAATATGATGCCAAAGGAACACAATGGAATAATCTCCAACAGATTGTATTATGCTCAAGGAAAGAGCATATTCAAATAAACATTCCTATTTTAGGTTTTGGGGGAAAATGTCTGAATTTTTAAGAAGCAAAATAATGACCAAAAGCTAATTAACAGGGCAAGAAAGCAATCAAAAAGTGAGATGGTAGAATTTGATTGTTGGAGCACTATCAATAGGTATTTTTTAAGAAGAGATTTGCAATTATTATTATAGGATAAGGCATCAGCAATCATTTTGGCAAAGGAGAAATGGGCAGGAAATATTTCTCTTATATCTGGATGCAGACAAATTTTCTTTCCTGATAATTTACTTCCAATCTTGTGGGAGAGTACAGTGTTTTACAAGGACTTGTATAAAGAATTGGACCTAGTCTCAGAACTGTGATCATGTGATATATTGAATATATTTACTTCTTAATTAAATTTTCTCATTTCAAACTGTTAATATAGAGACAGTTTATCGTTAACAAGGCAAATGACCTATAGAAGATAATGCATACATGCTTATTAGCACTATTTACAGTCCTTGAGATGATATAACAGATATTTAAGAAAAAAGTGTTGGTCTACATTGGCAAAACTAAAATATCTATTAGGCACTTTTTGTAAGCAGAACAAAAGGTTTTTCCAATTTCATCTTTCTCCTTCCTTTCTTTCTTCCCTCCTTTCTTCTTTGTTTCCTTCATAGCTTAAATGCTTATAACTTTCTTTTAAAGTAATTCAATGGTTTATTTTACTAAAAAAGATTTCTCACACTTTATTTTTCACACTCTTAAGCTTATTTTTATTGTACTTTTATTGTTACAGTGATCAAGTACTTCTTTAAAATAGTTGAAATGCTTTGCTAAATTAATTTAGAACTCCTCTTACTTAAAATAAATGCCCTTTATATTGAGAACTGTTTTAACAGCAGATAACCTTGAGGTCAGGTCATTTCCATGACATATTATACTCATGTTTATGCTAAAGGTTGAAATAAAGCCAAAATCATGCTAGCACATTGAAAACATCCTGTTAGGCATAACATTTAAAGCATATACAAGGTTTTGTTGTTTACTTTCCAAGTAATGCTTAGTATGGTTCAGGTGTATTAACTTGGATTATGTTTCTGTGTTCTGAACTCATTGTCCATGAATGTTTGAACATAAAGAGATTCCTTTTCTTAGAATGATAAACTTCAAAATCCTTTGCTAAATACAAGGAGGGTACAGAGTCTGGTTGGCCTAAACATGAACAGATGTAAAATATCTCCCATGATTGTCTCCAAATCCCATATTCTGACCCTGCTTACAGTGAAAAATAAATATATTTTCAGAAAATAAACAATATTGTGATGAAGTTATTGTGTCTTTAGTTTTCTGAGCTTTAAGTTATTGCTGCATTCAGCGATAGAAGATAAGTGATTTAAAATGCAACAACTATGTTAATTTTTTCCTGACTAGTAAAGGTATTAGGCAACTACAAATTCTTTATCTGTAAAATGAAAATACATACCCTACATTGGCTTCCTGATAGCACCGTTAAGATTAATTCATATTTCCAACTAATACTGAAAATTTGTGGTATAGTTGCATAGAAATAATAATGGGAATAAAAAATGTGTACTCTTCTTAGATGGTAAATGCTATTAATTTTGTTAAAAAGATTTAAATCCAGTAATAGTTGAGTCGTTAACATAATATACATTGTTGTTTCAGTTCTTAATAAAAAACCGAATGTACATCTCAAATCTTCACCAAGGCAGATAAGTACATTTCTTCCACATTCTGAAACTTACTGTGATTTTTTGTGTCTAAAATGAGATTCTTTATTCACTTAGTCCCAGGGAACATTACATAATTATTGTGCTATGCAAACGAAAAGCAAATAAACAAAACAAAATCATGTAATGAAGACCTTATGGTATGTAAAACCCCTCCCCCCTCCAAAATACATGGCAGATGAAGGAAAGGAAGGCAGGAGGTATATAATTTTTTAAAAAGTAAACATAGTATGGTGGGCTTTTGTTTCGAGAAAATTCCCTTAATGCGTGACTTTTTGTACTTTTTCTCTTTTCCGTCTGCCAGCTGGAGCGATATGGCTCCTGCATGAGCTGCTTGTACTGAAGGCTGTTCAGCAAGAAATTCGTGTGAAATCGTAGCATGTGATGCTCCTGGTTGGAGCAGTTAATAACTGGTTAAGAGGCATTTCCCTAAATGGCTGTTTTCCTCGGCCCAGCCGTCTCTCCCCCATCCCATTGCTCCCCGGTCCTCAGCAATGCCCCAACTCCCTCCCGGAACCTCTCGCTCTGAGCCCCCCGCCAGCGCCGCAATCCCGCCACTGTATTGTCCTCCTCGGCACCGAGCGATCTGATCCGCCGAGCCAGAAAGACACCCGATGGGGGAGAGAAGCAAAGTGGAAAAAAACCGACGTCCCTGCTCTCCAGAAGGGAGACCCCGGCGGCGCCGCGGTGCCCTGAGCCCTCCGCGGCCGCCCGGCGCGAGCTCCCGGGCGGGGCGCTGTCCAGCGCGCACAGAGTTAAAGGCATCATCGCAGCCATTAGAGGGAAAAGTTGCGGCGCCGCGAGCCCAGCGAAGTCCTCAGCCCGCCCCACTTGCCCACTCCCCACTTCCCGAGCCGGCTCCGTGTTTAGGGAGGGCAGTGATCACGCAAGCCGGAGCGGCGGGCTGACGTTGGACGAGCTGCCAGGTAGCTGGAAGCAGGCAGCCAGGCAGCCGAGACACTTCGCAGCGATTCCAGCCTGGGCTCCGCTGGAAGCCTCGCTGAATCCCAGCCAGCTGGTTCTAACCTTCCAGAATCGCAGTCCCTTCTCCCCACAGCCAGCCCTCGCCGAGCAAGCAGCAGGATGTTTGCAGTGTCGCGCCCAGGGCTCTGAGACAGAGCCTGCCATCCACTCGCACGCCTTTCTTTCAGGGCTTTTCGGCTGTTGGCTACACTGATGTGACCCCCCCTCCCTTTTTGGAATGATGGGGATCTTTTTGGCGTATGTTGGATTTGTTTTCTTTTCCGTTTTATATGTACAACAAGGGCTTTCTTCTCAAGGTAAGTCTGTGCTCAATGGCAAATATACATTTGCTCGCGTGTGTGTGTGTGTGTTTCTTACACTCAAAAAGAATGGACAGGCAGATAGAATAAGCTTCCTAGCAAGTAACAGTGGGCTTAGGCTGTATAAATAGTGTTCTGTTTGACGATTTTCTTTAAAGTTTATTAAACTGTAGACAAGCTAGGCTGGAGAGAAAATCTAGCTGGTGCCTGACAATGAGGTGGGCTCCTCGGTGAGCACAAACACAGGGTCGATGTGGTGTGTGTGTGTGTGCGCGTGTGTGTGTGTGCTTTCTATCTGTGTGCATGCACAGGGTAGCCACTCATGCATACATAATCATCACAAACAAACACAGGGCTGGATATGGGGACTCTCCATTACCAGTCCCTCTTCCTTGGGTAGTCAGACTGAGCTTAGAGTTTCCCTTTTCTAGGTCCGTGTGACTCCTTTTGTATGTGTGTTTATCAAAGGACAGACTCCTCTGAGGACCCATAAAAAGCCACAACTTGCATGACAAGCAGCAGCAGCCTGCTGAACCCGATTGTTCAGGACTTCGTAGGCTGCAGTGGTCGTTTCAGCACCATGAACAGATCACATCTCTGCTGCCAAAAGACTGCATCACTTCTGCAAGCAGAAATGCCATACTCCTTCTGCCAGCTAGAATAAAAAAGTCCTTTTCCGATCAGAATGTCTCCTTAATAGCTTCCCTGTTTTAGGTATAAATACAGTTTCATATCACTAGAGATTATTTTTGGGATTTCATAAAATGTTGAAAAGAGACCATGTCTCTCTTTAAAACGGGGGTGAGGTGAGGGGGGGAGGAGTGCATCCACCCTAAATCATTTCTGCAGTCCTCACAGCCCTCCTCTCCGTAAGTGTGCATTGTGGTTGTGCATTTCCATTGGCCATACAAATCTTTCCAAGACTACTTTTAGGGAACCAACAGCTCTTTGCAAAGTACCCCTTAGATAAGATAAGAACAACCATGTTGGTAACAAGATAAGAGCATTGTATGTTCAAGAAATGCCTTTAGGAGGAAGGAAACATATTTTTGTGAGTTTCACCATGGTTTCATGAATCATGCAAACTAGCAGTGTCAAGGTTGGTAATGAAAAGGCTGAGAAACATCTCCATAGTGACTTCTAAATAATATTTAATCTGAACTCAATCTAGATGTGTGATCATTACATCTTAGGATGTATGGCAGTTCGAAATACAGTGACTTGATGGTAACAAATAAAGGTTAATTTGGAGAGAAGGAAACATACACAGTTTATAAAGTGTGCAACTTGTTTCACTACTGCAGGCGTGTTTCACTAGTGTTGCTAATAACTGTTTTGCTGTATCAGGAATGTGCATTTTGACCAGATAATCATGATCTACTCTGTTACATGAAACATCCAGTTAGTGGTAGATTGTTTAGAAACTTAGAGGCAAGAGACTCTCCTCATATATCAACTTGACAGATTGTCTAAATTGTATCTCACTAACTCTCTCAGTAAATTTTGCGGAATACTGCAATCTGACAAAAGGTATTTGGATCTACCTGCGGGCATCTTGGCTAACAGAGTTATTGGCAAGCTTGTTAACCTTTCCATTATCTGGATTTGATCAACAACATAGTGATTTAGGTATGATACCAAAAGTTAGACAGGAAAGAGGCAAAGGAAGGGGGCTGGGGGAACCAGACGAAGCCGGGGATGTAGGAGAGGGGTTTTGTTGTTATTTAAGTCCAGGAAAAATGCAGCGAGCTCTCAAGGAAAGAGACTCTGGCAAGAGAGGTGTGGATATTCCAAAAGGATGCCTTTCTGTTTTGCAGCAAAATTTACCGAGTTTCCGCGGAACGTGACGGCGACCGAGGGGCAGAATGTGGAGATGTCCTGCGCCTTCCAGAGCGGCTCCGCCTCGGTATATCTGGAGATCCAGTGGTGGTTCCTGCGGGGGCCGGAGGAAATGGAACCCGGGGCCGAGGGGGCCGGCGCGCAGGTAGCGGAGCCCGCCGACCCCGCGTCTCCCCTTCGCTTGCCGGGTCCTCAGGGTGTCCGGCCCGGGACTGAGGGCCGAGGTGCTGCCTGGGCACCCCTGGGGAACCGCCCGGTTCTGTGGAAGCGAGTGACCCCCAGGGCTTCCAGGGAGGGAGAGGGAATTTGTCCTGGGGACGCGAAGTTAAAACCCAGAAGGAAGTCCTGCTGCCAATTTTCTTCCTGTTAAACCGGGAAGCGCCTCCTCCTGTAAGTTCTGGTTCTTAGGAAGATGCCCGCCTTGCCCCTGCCGCGCTGCCACTTCCCGGGACATCCGCAAGCCCCTTTCCAGGACGGAAGGAGGGGGAGGGGAAGCGGTGGGCGGCCTCCACCCCCCGCCCCACCCCGTCTCCCTTCTCTGGGCACCAGGCACCATCTGGGACCCCAGTCCCCGGGCTGAACAACCAGAGAACCAGAGCGGCCAGCTCCTCTCACCTCCACCTCTAACAGATACGTGGGGTGTCGGGAAGAGAGGGAGAGAGAAGGAAAGGGGAAAATGGAGGAGGGAGAGAGGGAGAGAAGAAAGGGGGAGACCGGGAGAGGCACAGAGAAGGAGAAAGAGACGGAGAGAGGGAGGGGGAAAAAAGGGGAGAGAGGGAAGGGAAAGAGAAGGGAGGGAGAAAGAAGGTAGAAGAGGAGAGAGGGAAGGGGAAGAGGGAGAGAGGGAGTGAGGAGAGGGAGAAAGAGAAGGGAAAGGGGAAGGAGGGAAGGGAGAATTGGAGTGGGGAGGGGAGAAGGAGAGGGGGAGAGGGAGAAAGAAAGGGGGGAGGGGGAAGGGGTGGGAAACAGGGAAGGGGAGATGGGAAGAGAGAGTGAAGGGGAAAGAGAGAGAGGGAAGGGGAAAAGGGAGAGAGGGAAGGAAAAGAGAGGGAAGGGAGAGAGAAAGGAGAAGAGAGGGAGAGAGGGTAGGGGAAAAGGAGGCAGGGGGCGAGAGGGAGAGAGAGAAGGGGAGGGGGAAGGAAGGGAGGGAGGATTGAAGTAGAAAGAAGAGAAAGAAAGGGGTAGAGGGAGAAAGAAGGGAGAGAGAGGGAGAGAGGTAAGAGAGGGGGAAGGGGTGGGAGAGGAGAGAGAATGAGAGGTGGAAGGGGGGAGGAAGAGACGGAGAAGGAGAGAGATGGGGGAGACAGGGCACAGAAGGGAGAGAGGGAGGGAGAGGGAAGGGAGAGAGGGAGGGAGAGGAAAAGGAAAGAGGGAGGGAGAGGGAAGGGAAAGAGGGAGGGAGAGGGAAGGGACAGAAGGAGGGAGAGGGAAGGGAGAGGGATGGAAAGGAAAAGAGGAAGAGAAGGGGAGAGAGAAGGAGTAGAGAAGGGGCAGAGAGAAGAGAGAAGGAGGAGAGTGGAGAAGGGAAAGAAGAGGAGAGAAGAGAGTAAGCAGGAGAGAAGGGACTACGGGAGTGGGGAGCATGGAGGGGACGGAGGGTGACTTGGGAAGAGGCAGGAGAGAGGGTGGTGAGGTGGGAAAGGAGGGGGAGAAAGGAGGAGAAGAGGAAAAGGAAAATAGTGGGAGGAGTGGAGAAGGGGAGGAGTGGAGAAGGGAAGGGGGTCGGGGCGAGAGAAGGGAGACCTAGTTGAGCGAGAGGCGGAGCCCCTATGAGCCTGCAAGAGAATCTGTGGCCAGGAGCCCGGGGCGGGACGGCGGGCGGGATGGCCGCCGGGGCAAAGGCGCGGAAATTCGTCCCGGGGCACTTCACCCTTACTCACGCCGGCCGCCCCACCCCCGGCGCCCGCGCCACCTCCGGGCCAGCGTCCGCACGGGTCAACCCGCGAAAAAGAGCCGGCGGCTCCCGGCCCCGCCTCCCGAGCGCAGCCTCCGAGCTGCGGGGACAGCGCCGGGACGGTTCCGGGGACAGCGCCGGGAGGGCGCAGGGGACAGCATGGGGACGGCGCGGGGACGGCGTGGGGGCGGTGCGGTCGGGGCCTGGACGGGGGTGGCCACGCCCCTAGTCGCTCCCTGTCCCCAGGTCACCCTGAGGGCCCTGCCGGGAGCGGCGAAGGCTGTGCTCGCGTGGGGGCGGGCGGTTGGGCGGGCCTGGCGCGGGACTGAGCGTTCGCTCCTTGCCCGCAGGTGGAGCTCTTGCCAGACAGAGACCCGGACAGCGACGGGACCAAGATCAGCGTGAGTTAGGGGGCGCGCCGGGGGCCGCGAGCCCAGGCCCGGGACGCACAGCCCTTCCCTGTCCCCGAGAAGGCGGCTTGCCAGTGCTGCAGGAGAGCCCGGTGCCCCTTGCTTGCCTCACTAGATACATACAAATGGAAGCACGTTTAGAGTCCCTACAGAAAATTACATATTTTAGTCACGTAAATATCCAAACATTCTAGAGAATCGTTTGCTATCCAGAGAGGTTGTGTGACACTTTCTTTCATTGCTTTTTGTAACTTACCTAACAGTAAGAGTAAATACAATGCTAACATCTATTCAAATTATGGAAATAATTATATTTTAGTAGAAAGTAAAACACTAGCAGAGGAAAATATTTTTAGGGAGAAAAATATAAAGCATCCAACAGGATACTGAAATTGTGATTAAATTAAGCAACTAAATTTTGAATGTCACTTTAATGCATGGAATGTATTTCCAGTGCTGTTATTCAGAATCATATAAATATAATGCCAAAAGCCAATATAAATGTAAAACCATTGTTATAGGAGCTTGACCTATTGAAAATGTAAACTTACAGTTCTACTCTATTGCTTATTACTTTTAATAAGTGTGTGTAAAATTTAAAAAATGAAAGTCTTATTTTTTTACTCTACCTCAAATGAAGCCACATAGCATCAGTTAATATTAATAATACTGCTTCATTTGATAAATAGAAACGAAATAGTTATGTAATACAACAGGAGGAAATCTGTTAAGCATAAACATATCGTTATTATATGTTTTTAGAAATCTAAAATCCCAATGACCTACATTTTAAAAGAAAATGTATTTTAAGGCTCTTACAATAGCATAAAGTGGTAGAAGATTGGAGTTACATCATAACTAAAAATGTACAAATATATTGTACATAGAATCTAATTCTGTGATCTAAATGTGTAATCTCAACATGGAAGAAAAAATGACAAAGATGAAATATCAACCATAAACTCTGATTTAAAACTCATAAAATTACTGACTTTTTAGGATACTTCAATTATTCTTATATCACAGAAACTGTTGTTTTCCTACAATATTAGAAAAGCTTTATTGGTGAAATCTAGTTTTTTCTTAATTATTTTATTTTTCACATACATATACAACTAGATAGATTGCTTGGTGACCATTCTTCCTTCAGCCTTCACCCGTACCCCTATCATCTAAAGGCCAGTAACAAAAATAGTCTCATACATCCTGACCTCTGATGCATACAATGAGAAATATGATTACACACACAACTGTTGATGGTATTACCTATGCCAATAGTGCATAAAAGTTAATGAGTGGAAGAGAGTTTTAGACACAAACTGAGGCAGAAAGTAGTTTGTTCCCTGTTTACCCACTGTGTGACCTTGAACATATGTTCTCAACCAACAGTTATTAACTTTGAATTCCCAGGAGAGTTGTTATAAAATACTGATATAAGCTCCACCCTCTAGAGATGCAGACTTAGTATTTCTGTATTACTCCACATGACAGTATTTTTAACAGCACCCCAGGTGATTCTAATGTACACTCAGTGTTGAAAATCACTGACCCAAACACCCCAAGCCTCAGTTTACTCAACTATAAAATGGGATAATAATATAAATACTCTAGCTACCTCAAACTTTATTCGGAGATTTAACCCAGAATAAATGTGGAAGTATTCATTTCCATTTTTATAGTATTAGTGTATTTATATGTAATTTTATATACACTTAAACCCATAGGGTTCAGTTGTTGGAAATTATTTGTATATATACCTCTATATGTAAAAACAGATGAGTGCTTCTCAGGTTTTTCTAATAATTTATGGCTGTTTGAAAGTGTAGTGTAGTGGCCATTAGCAGAAAAAATAACTTTCGGCCTCCTTCATTTCTTTTCTCTATCTTTCAAAATCAACCAAATTCTTGAATCCCAAACGTCTTATGAAACCTATAATTGTCTCAGTTATGAAGAACACGTGATTATGTATTAAACCTAACTGTTCTGATAAAGATGCTTATATATACAATATATGACATATAATAGAAAATCATATATTATATCTAGTATATCTATCAGATATCTGATCTTGCTATTAATCTGGAATAAAACTTATTAGAAGAAATAAGAAAGCCAATTTCAATTTTGAAAATCAAGCCAATGTTTTATCGATGGCATCCCAAGTCCCTGTAGCATAAAGTCCCTATAATGGCATGGGATACATACTTTGAGCAACAAGACTTCAGGTGATAGGAAGCTGTATCCCCAAGTCATGCCACCCCATGACTAGAGGCAAGACTGCATATAAAATTTAAGAAGAAAAAATAGTAATATCCAAGTTCGTTACCAGCACCTTTAGTAGTCATCCCAGTGTGGGGATGCAAGTGCCTTCTCACTCAAACCCATGACCAACAAAATATTTTTGTGATGTCTCAGAGTTGAGGGGGTTAGTTTATAGCCCACAGGGAAGGAAAGAGGTTGTTTCACCTATAGAGTTGGCCTTATTGGTTTGTGCTTCATTGAACTGAGTTAAGCAGGCAGAGGCCAATCCCATGATGGCAAAATGACAGAGCTGCTACTGGCCTGTGGACAATAGGGGGCATATGGCTGACAGAATCTGGCACTGGCTGCATTGAACTAATTATCCCCTGAGTCTGCAAGTGCAGTGGTTGGTGGAATAGGATAACCAAGGCCTTCAGATGTGATGTTAAGGAAATAAAAAGCTCCTTCACTATGGCTATGGGCCCATTAAGACCCTTTAGCTTTCCAATGTTAGCAAGCTCAGGGGAAAAAAATGGGAACAAAATCATTTGATGTAGCACTTTATTTTTTTTTTTACCTGCAATCTTTCAGACAGTGAAAGTCCAAGGCAATGACATCTCCCACAAGCTTCAGATTTCCAAAGTGAGGAAAAAGGATGAAGGCTTATACGAGTGCAGGGTGACTGATGCCAACTACGGGGAGCTTCAGGAACACAAGGCCCAGGCCTATCTGAAAGTCAATGCCAACAGCCATGCCCGCAGAATGCAGGCCTTCGAAGCCTCTCCCATGTGGCTGCAGGATATGAAGCCCCGCAAGAACATCTCTGCAGCCGTCCCCAGCAGCATCCATGGCTCTGCCAACCAACGAACGCACTCCACCTCCAGCCCTCAAGCGGTAGCCAAAATGCCCAAACAAAGTCCACAATCAGGTATGGAAACCCATTTCGAGCCTTTTATTTTACCACTCACGAACCCTCCACAGAAAGGTCAGTCGTATAGAGTAGACACATTTGTGAATGATGGTTTTTAAAATCGGAGACCTAGTTCAGTGCAAGTGATTATGAGAGGTGACTGCTGAGCCTGCACCGATTCACTCAGAGCTCAAAGCATGTGGGTGCGCCCCGTGAGTCCCCTAGTGGTGCTGCATTTCCAGAGCATCTGAGAGCTGGACTCTGGTTTTTTTCCTTTCTGTATTTACACATTATAAGAACAATAAATCATGTAATGTTGGTTACATTACAAATGCATGTTCATTTTCTCTACAGATTTATGTATCGATAATGACCCAAATTAAGAGGCTTTCACTTAATCAAAATGTAAATGAGAGAGACATGCCATATCATGCATTTTCAGCGACCCATAGCTCTAAGCAGGACTATTCTCCAAGGGCTTCTGATTTTGAAGGAGAAACCTCAGCTGCCTGTGATGATGATAATGGAAGGACAGAAGGGGGATTGAAGACAGTAAGTGGTGCAGAGATAAGGCAACTCCTGTGAATGTGCCTTCCAGGCCAATTTAGAAGCTTAGTCACAGGATTCTGAAGGCAGCTGTGCAAGTTAAAGCTGTTCTGAATGGCATTAATGTATGCAGTCATTCAGCCAATGGAAATGCGTAGAAGTTTTAACCTTGATGTGGGATAAAGGCTTCGTGGAATGAGCAGAACCCTGCACAACCCCGCGGCCATCACGATTTCCTCAAACACATGACATGGGATGAAGGGAGCACAAACATACTGACTTCATCCTTCTTTAGGTTTTTCCCTTTATATTTTATCACTGAAGAAGTATTGATGCTACCATCAGTAATGGAAAATTACATTGCTAATATTATTTAAGATCTCTTCAGCCATTAAATTAAAAAGTCTGATTACTTCACCAGGATGATTTCTGAGATCTCATCTCATATCATCTTGAATACGCGCGCACACACACACACACACATCTCAGAAATCATCCTAATCAAATATAGACTTTAATATGTATATCAAATATATATATACATGTAGAAATACATATAGGTTTGTATCTTTAAGTCCTTGCTTGTGAACAATGCTTTTAAATGTTTTTAAAATACTCTATGCCAAAATAGGTTTTCTGTTAATGCTTTACTTCCTAATGGATGTGATTTGCACATTTGTAGGGCACTTGGATTAGGGTTCTCTGAGTTTGCCCTGCCTTATAATGTAGACGAGCAACTCTCCTGGCATGCCTTGGTCCTTGCAATTTATGTCAGTCTGATGAATAGATGGCTTAGCCTCTCTGAAGCCCAGTGTGTGTGGATTTGTCTAATTTTTTTTTTCTTTATCATCTTTTCTGTTTCCCAAATTAAAGGACAAACTAATATAGCTGGAACATATGTATGTGTATCCATACACACAAAACACACAGGTATATGCTAAATTATAATGGTAACCAAATGATGGTTACAACTTTGTGACTATTGTTTCAGGAAGATTTCTTCACATTATCAGAAAAGAAGTTAGACACTACAGGCAAGATTACAGAGTAGACTAAGCAGACAGTTTACAACCTAATTAGCAAGAACTCCAATCATGGAAGTGAAATTATTAATACTATCCTACATAGACTGTTCCAAGTTAGATGTCATCAATCTGTTCGGCAGAATAAAATCAAACAGCTTATCTATTCCAAGTGAAGAATTTGGAATAGAGTGGTAGAGTGAAATGCTTTATCTATTTCTAGAATATTTTCTTAGCTTTTGGGGTTTAATAATGCAATCTAAAAATATCTATTTCTTTTATTTTAATATCTCTTAGCGCTGTGATTAGTGCTAAATGATAAACTCTAGATCTCTTCTAACAATTTTCAAATGAAAATTACTGCTCTTTTTTCATCCCATTGCCAGCCTTGCTGTTAGATACAAAATTGCTTTTTCTAGAGTTAAAGATAGAAGGAGAGAAACAAATGACTCATGAAGTTTATATTCATTAAAAGTCCTGTTCACTAAAAGTATCTGCTTGTATCAAAGAGTAACCTGAAATACCTCAAAATATTTAATTTCAATATTTCCAACCAGTGAATACTGGATCATATTTTTATATACTTCTATCGACATTTTCTAATTTCTATTTCAGAAGCTGGGGCAGTCCAGCCACTGATTTATGTGTAAGTTCCTATACTTGCACAATTATTATATATAATTCAGTATCGGGGTGGATATTTATATATTATATTCACTGTAATACCCACATCCTGATTTATGATTTTTGCCTTAAAATTTTCAGATTATATTCAAATAAAGCTTATTTCAATACCCATGTTTCATTTATTCATTCATTTATTCACCTTCCATTCCTCCCAGGAACTCACATACCAAGCATAGGGACGCAAACAAGGAAGACACACTTCTTCTCCTCAAGGAGTTTGTATTTTAGTTTGCAAGGAAACAAAATATTTGTACATTCCATTTATCATGCATCTTTATTTCATTATTCTGTGAAAGGCAAGATGTGGTGAAGGCACAAAAATCAAAATCTTACTTTTGGAAGTCAATAGCTATATTGTACTAGCCTTTTATCTTTTATTGTTTGACACAAACAGGCATCCTTCATCTATGGTATATGGGACACTGTCATATCAACCTCTGTCCCAAAAAGCTGGCCTGTTTGGCCCTTTATTTTCATCATAATCTTTGACTTAGTTGACTAAATTATTTAAACTGAAGCACTCACCTCTTAATTGATACTATTTTTCTGTTGAATTTCTGTTTTATGAAGGAAAACATATTAGCTGAAAATAATTTTATATAAAATCTTCAAATTTTCATACAATTAATTTAACCAGTTTTTCTAGAGCAGAGATTTACATGAATAGAGGAAGATGGAAAAGATAGTCTATGACCATCTACCTATCACAAGATCAAGCTAACTATTATTTAAGGTATTTTCCAACAGTTTTTGAGCATGTGACTTTCCCCTCCCACTTAAAATTGTTTCTTTTTTATCTTTGTGAATCCTTTACTTGTAAAATTATTTGAATTCTACCTCCATTTTGTGATCAACAATTAAAACAAAATATTGAAGCAAAACGGTTAGGCAAACAGATAAACAAAACTTGGCAGTTGCAATCCCTTTAAAGTTTGCCGTCTTCAATTGTTCTGGACACTCTCCGGTTTTGTGTACCATGACCAGCTTAGATTATATCAAACCTATTCCCCTCTGCCCAATTTTTTTGGCTCTATTTGCAAGAAGCTTATCAAGAGAGGATGCCAATAAATACGATGTTATCAGGAAAGCAATACATAGAGTTAGAAGCAGAAGAAATGTTCTATAGATGTTCTGAGAAGGTGAATTCTTGCTTCTTGCTGGAGGAGTCAGGGAGGGCAACCTGGAGGAAGGGGCTTGGAAGATAGGGAGAGCTCACACAAGCAAATACGGTGAAGAAAGACCTTTCAGAGAGGAGGGTGGCACCAAGCATAACTGACTGTGGAAGTCCCAGGATCTTGACCAGGATGGGGTGGTTTAGGTCCCTCTTTGCAGAGAACACAGGACTCAATGCCACTCCACTGTGCCCCCAAATACCCTAGTATACTAAGCCATTCTCTACTTGTTTCTTCCTGCCTCTTCCAGTGTCTCCAGTCCTTCCAGAAGTCAAACATCTCCTCCACAGACCACCTCTACCAGTCCTTCCTTTCTTCTCTCTGTCTTCATTTTTTTCTACTGACCCCCTCCCCACCTTCCCAAGGTCACACAGAACTGTGAAGCAGCTTCCTGCTCTTCCTCCCCAACCTGGCCGTGGATCAACTCCTGCTGTGCAGAGCTGCATGCTGGCTCCTCCAGGTCAATTGCCCAGGTCACTCGCACTCCCAATGCTGTCATGCAAGTCACTGGTGTCTCCTGCTTCCAATTCCCTGCCCTCTCACATCTCATCCTTCCCAGTCTCTAGGTGACCTTTCTCCCTTGATCGCTCTTTCCTGACACTCTTACCTCTCTTCTCTTTGCTGGCTGGTTCCCTATTTACTGGCTCCTAGCATTGCCCTCTCTCCTTTATTGGCCTCCCCCACTAAATTCCTCTCTTAAATATCGTTCTTTTCCCATTGTCAACTCCCTGATCTTCTCATCCACTTCCATGGTTTTGACTGCTAAATTTTCTTAGAAAATTGTTCCATTCACCTTTGTACTTCTGACTCATTTCTGTAGATCCAGACTCATATTCACTCTTGTCCCCAGAGCATCTACATATATGTCCTGCAAGAACTGTGGCAGAGTAAGAATGTCTACACACTTGTCTCCATCCCACCCAATGAAGCCTATTTTCCTTCCCCTGAGCATTGGCTGGCCTGTGACCACTCTGTCCAATAAAGTAGGAAGAAGTGAGCTGTGCCAATTATAAACCTATCCTTTACAGGGGCAGGCAGCACCTGCTGAGCCCTCCTGGAGGCCAGCCACTGTGGAGGCAGTGCAGCCACCTTACTGACTGAAGCTCAGCCATGGTCCTTGGTGTGCGAGCCTGGAAGCAGCCTTGGGTATCCAGCCACTCCAGCCTTCCTCCAGTCACAGCTCCAGTGGCTGTCTCATTGCAGCATGAGGGAGCCCAAGTGAGCACTGCCCAGCTAAGCACAGACAACACGCAGAACAGAGACAGATGATGATCTCCTGTCACTTTAAGGCACTAGGTTGTAGTGAGGTTTGTTTCGTAGTAGATGCTCAGATAAGACATCTAAAACTCAAATATTCAAAACTGAATTTATCTTAGCTTTCTCACCAAAAAGAAATGTTCTTCCTCCTATGATCGCAAACTGTTTTAATAACATTCATCACAGTCGTTGGTCTTGAGGAAGCCTTGAAAATGTTCTCATCTCTTCTGTCAGCTGACACACTGAATTGTCCTAGTAATTGTCTCCCTAAAACATCCCTGAGAAACTGCATCTTTTCTGTTCTAACCAATATTGGTTTATTGTCAACACAGGC